GAAGTGTCTCTTCCCCACTCCCACTCCATCCTCCTGCTGTGGATCAGAGAGCTGTGAGGGTTGCAGATTTCCTAAGGGCACTGATGCCACTCCTGAGGGGACCACCCTCGGGACCTGATCACATCCCAAAGCCCTGCCTTCTAACGCCATCACGCTGGTGCTCAGGAGTCAGTGTGTTAATCAGAAACAAGGAGGCGTTGTATTTCTGGTACTGGAGAGGAAAAACCCAAATAAGCAAGCTCTGAAAAACAAGTAGGACTGGATTTTATGGTGTTCCTTCAAAGAATGTGATTAAACTAGGCAGGCAGTTTCAAAACAGGTTTCTATCTGGGTGTGGTAACACATCCCTATAATCCCAGCACTCTGGGAGGCTGAGGCAGGAAGATGACAAACTCAAGCCCAGCCTGGGCAACTTAGCCACTTCACAAGACTGTGTCTCAAATACAAAATAGAAAGAGGGCTGGGGATGTAGCTCAGTGCAAAAACGCTGGGTTCAGTCCCCAGCACCACAAAAAGTAATAAATTAATTAATTTTTAAAAAGAATAAAATTGTTTCCTCAAACAGCATTTTCAAGCACAAATGGTTGCCAATGTGCCCAGTGGGTGAGATTTTACCGAATGAGACAGTGAGGACGCCACGGTCTCAGTCACTTAGGGTGCCACAGGAAGACACATTTCCATTCAAACGGCGGGAGCTTTCTTGTCCTGACTCCTTGCCCTCTGAGGGGAAGACGGCAGCTTAAAGTCGAAGGAGGCTCGGGTCACTGTGACCTTGGGTTCACCACTTTCCCTAAGTCTGGTTTCTTTGTGCAGCAGAACTTTGTGCAGCCACCTGTCTGGGGGACTTGGAGACAGTCCCATGAGCCCCCCAGCACCTGTGGTAAAAGCCGAAGGAACCTTCCTGGCTGCCAAGTGTTAGTGATGTTTCTTGGCCTGTAATTCCACCTGGGACGCTCCTGGAAGCACCTGCAGCCCCCGGAGGCTGGGGAAAACCGCTTTGCCCATCAGATCTCAGATCTCAGCTGCGCTGGGAGTCAAGGCCTTGCCAGACACCTCCCAAGCAGCTACCTTAATTAACGTCCCGGGTGTGGAATACACGCGGTATCCCGGGAGCGTTTGTGGTTAACTTGGCAGTAAAACCGCCGGTGGCGAGAGTGGGCAACTTGGCAAAGGCTCCAGGACTTTGTGTAGCTCCAAATCGTGCCCAAGAAAAGAGCCAGGCCTGTCGCTCAGCACCTGAGACTGCGTCTCCTGATGGGAAACCAGAAGCGCTTCCCTGCTGCTTCGGATTATCTTCCGCTTCGCGTGGAAGCTCAGAATTCTGGAGCGAGTCGTTGTTACCCGGACAGCAGTGAGGGCGTAGAGCGCTCCTGTCAGCCAGCGTGGGCTCACCAGGAAAATCCAGGTTCCAAGCGAACCCGGAGTTGCATGCCTTTCTGTGCAGTGTTTGTGTGTTGAAGACTAAATAGATGTTCCAGAACTCTGTCCCCTTCATTACCCTGTGGGAGCTTCAGGTCGCGAATGTTGTATGTCACTGTTATGCTGTCTCGGAATAAGGGCTGCTTCTGGCTAATTGAAAGATATGTGACGTAATAGCATTTGCAAACTTTCTCACTGTATTTTAAGAGATCAAGAACTATAGACTAGAAAACCATACAAGTCGGCAAGCCCACAGGGCTGGAATAATCGCAATTCATCCAGGGACAGAATGAAGCCTGGTGCGGGACTCCGCGTACCAGAGCCCGGCGTTCAGGGCTCTTCCATGTCCTCCCACTTCAGCCGCTCGATGCCTTTTGATTGAGGAGTTTAATAAACTTACACTTCATGACCACTGGTAGAACAGGACCCGTTGTTGCTCCGTTGCTCCTCATTGCTGGTGTGTCTTGTGCTATGTTTTTCTCCCTTACTCCCTCCTCGGGGTTTCATTGATGTTTTTCGATGGTGAATGGGATTCTTTTCCCATTTTCTTTTGTGCCTCTTCTGTAGGTATTTTCTTTGCACTAAGCATGGGGTTACATAAAGCATCTTATAGTTCTAAGTCTTTTCTCAATTGCCATCGATTTCTCTTGAACAGCATGTACAGCATGTAAAAGCTCTGCTCTCTTACTTTCTTTCAACTTTGTTATTGATGTCACAAATTATATCTTTATATATTTTGTATCCATTAATATAATTTGACAGTTATTTTTAAGCTTTTATTTTTTAAATTCTGCACTAGAAATAAAAATGATTTACACCCTGTGATTAGTGTTTGAGATTCAGTATTTTTCTATATATTCACCATTCCAAGAGCTTTATGAAATCCAGATGCTTCCGTATTGTTATTATTTAGGTTTCTTTCATTCTGAACAAAGGACTCCTTTCACTTTCTTGTAATGCAGGTCTAGTGTGGTAAATTCCCTTGACTTTTTTTTCCTATGGTGAAGTCTTTATCTCTTCTTCATTTTTTATTCATTTATTTTAATGGATAAATAATTGTGCATATTTATGGGTACAGTGTGATGTTTGAAACATTATAGAAATAGTCCAGCAAGCCAATTAGCGTATTCATCACCTCACCACTTTATCATGTCTTCATGGAAAGAAGATTAAGCATCTATTCTTTTAGTAATTTGAGAATAAGTGATGCATTGCAGTGTTACCACCTGTGTTCACCATGCATTACAACAGCAGAAGCTTGGTCCTCCTGTTTAGCTGAAACTGGGGTTCTATGTTAACTTCTTCCCTCTCTCCATCCCTCTGTCCACCCCCAGGTCTCTGTCTGCCTTTCGCACTCTAGTTTTTGTTGTTCTTGTTGGCCTTTTCAGTACTAGGAATTGAGCCTAGGGCCTGGCACGTGGTAAGCAAGTACTCTGCCATGGAGATATTTCCCCAACACTTTTCATTTTCTTTTTTGAATCAAATTCTCACTAATTTGCTGTGGTGACCCCAAACTTCCGATGCTTCTGGCTCAGCCTCCTGAGTAGCTGAGTTACAAGAGTGTGTCTCCACACCCAGGTCTGCACCCTGTTCCCATGAGACTTTATGTTCAGAGTCTACACCTAGTGAGGTTGAACAGTGTTGCTTTGCTGTGCCTGGCTTATTCCACTTAACATGATGTCCTCAAATTCAGCGCATGTTGTCAGGGTGACAGACTTCCCCTCATTTTTAAGGCTGTGTAATAGTGCACTGTATATGTATACCACAGTTTTTATACCATTCACCCATTGACAGTTAGACTGTCTCCATAGCTTGGCCACTGTGAGTCATGCGGAAATGAATACAAGAATGTAGACATCTCTTCACCGTGCTAATTTTCATTTCTATGGATATATATCCAACATTGGAATACTGGATCATGTAGTGATTCGATTTTTAGTTCAGTTTTTTATGAACATTCATACAATTTCCTAAGGTGGCTCTATTAGTTTACATTCCTTCCAGCAGTGTACAGAGTTCCCTTTTCCATGTCCTCCCCAACAGTTATCATTCACCTTTTGGGTAATAATCATTCTCACAGGTGTGATGTGGTATCTTGTAATAATTTGCATTTCCCCGAGGATCTGAGATATTGACCAGTTTTAGTGTACCTGTTGGTCATTTATATGTTCTTTTGAGAAACGTCTATTCCATTCATTTTCCCATTGTTGAATTGGGTTGTTTTCTTGCTATTGAGTCATTTGGATTCCTTTTATATTTCATATAGAATTCCTTCATCAGATTGGGGTTTGAACTAAGCTGTCTTAATACATGATTTCCCCTTTACTCTTTATTGTTTCCTTTGCTGGGAGGAAGCTTTTTAGTTAGTGCAATCCATTTGTCTCCTTTTGCTTTTGTAAGTTTATTCAAGGAGGGGAAAGATTTGTAAACCAAAAACTATAGTGCATTGATGATAGCAATTGGAGAAGACACAAATGGAAAGATAAGCAATGTTCATCCACTGGGAAAACTGATATTCTTTAAAATTTCCGTACTGCCCAAAGAAATCTACAAATTCAGTGAAGTCATCAGAATCCAGTGTCCTTATAGACAAAGCAGTTTGCATTTTCAACCATGAGACCCGCCCATGCCAAGAGCTCTCTTCGTAAGATGAGGATTTTGCTGATAAAGTCTGTCTCGGTCACTTTCTTACCCCTGAGCCACAGATGCTGACAGCTCAACCTAAAGAAGCAGAGTTTGTTTAAGGTCGCAGTATGTAGAGGTTTCAGTTTATAGTCACTGGCTCCAGGTTAGAAGTGTCACACAGAGGGGCTGGTGGAGGGGAGAGCTGCTCAGGTTATGGTGGTCAGGAGTCAGTCCAGGGAAGAGCCGGGGAGGAGCCAGACCCTCCAGGCCATGCCCCAGTGACACCTCTTCTGAGCAGATCCCACTGCCCACAGCAAGCATGCAGCCTCCACAGCCTGGCCATCTTCAGAGGTCCGTCCAGGTATGCACAGTCTTCGGGGGACACCCAGATGTAGACCAGAAGAGTCTCGAGCAGGAGCTGGCTCTCTGCTCCAGACAGATGTGTGTGCACCGTGGAATGACCGCATGCCGCTGACCCAAGGCACAGGGCTGCGGTCCTAGGTGGGTGGACACTGTGGCGGGCGTCAGGCCAGCTGCTCTGGATGCAGGCCCGAGCCAGGCCAGGGCGAACTGGTGAGGGCCCCTCTGGTGTTTTGCTCTGACTTCAGATCATGGTGGCCCCTCTTAGCCAAGAAGGTGTAGTTCTCTTTGTATTTAATTCAAGGCATGTGCTCACTTTCCATTTTATGCTCTGGGGAAGTTTAGCAGGTGTCAGATTTGCCTGGAGTCCCATGCTCATGGGACCTTGGGGTAGCTGTGAACATCACCATGTCACTTCCGAGCCAGGCTTGGGAAACGCACACTGCTGCTCCGCCACCTGCTCCCCAAAAGGGGGACATCTGACAGCCTTCCGCATAGGACCTGAGCCATGTGAACCCTGCTCCTGAACTCCTATGTCCCCAGAGCTGCTCACGCCCTACGGAGCCCCCTGACCCTGCTGTCTCCCCTCTTCCTAGGTGTCCCTGGGCTCACAGGTTGACTTGCAGAAGAAGAAGCGGCGGGCACCAGCCCCCCCTCCACCACAGCCACCGCCACCCAGTCCCCTGGTCCCCAACCGCAGGGAGGACAAGGAGGAGAACCGGAAGAGCACCATGGGTGAGTGCCGGGCTCACTGGCGCATGCCTCTGGGGTGCCTGCTGCACGGAATGTCAGCACTGCCACTAACGCCCGCAGGGACGCACCCACTGTAGATGGTTGTGTTGAAGAAGGCTCTCTGGGAGTAGGTGGTTGTGAGCTCACTTCCTGTCTTATAGCAGTGTCTGATGGGACTGCTGGGCAGTGAGGAACATGGATGGATGGTGCACGGGGTGGAGAGTGGCTGCAGAAGGGGGACGAGGTGACAGAGGGAGGACGAATGTGTGACTGTGTGATGTGCATAAATAACTAAGGTGACATCACAGAGGCTGTTTTGAAAGGCAGCTGCCATTTGGAAAACATGTCAGGTCCCACGTGGCTCCTGCAGGTTGAGCATCCATAATCTGAAAGTCTGAAATCAGAAACACTCAAAGATCTGAAACCTGCTGAGCACCAGCACAATGCAGCTGGTAGGAAATCCCACACTGCAACTCTGTTTCAGGTACAGAACGATTAAAACCATGGCATTAATGGCCCTCAGGGTCGATGTGCAGCATTAGGAAACCTGAGTGAATTCCGCAGTTACACCTGGGCCAACCCCAGACGCCGCATTACATGCACGAAGAGGTTCCAGACATTGCCGTCTGTCCGTGGGTGTAGAAGAGTAACAGCAATCAGCTCACACAGAGCTGTGAGCCAGAAAAAGATTAATGTGGAGGACAGAGGTTCGTTTTAACTCAAAGGCTGCTTCGAGTCCTTTTAGACATGGTTTTCTGCCCCGGCCTTTGTATAGTTATGCCCACCAGAGAGGCTGCACTGGGCAGACTCCCAGATGCCTGATGGCAGAGCTCTGCCTGTGTCAGGTGTCAGCCATGAGTGTGACTGCAGGCTGCAGGCGGTGTGGGTGACCTTAGACTTGACAGTGGACAAAATCACATCTGGTGTAGGTGCTGATGTGGATCTGCTCCCAAGTGAGCTGTGTTCGCTGCTTCTTTCTGCACTTGGATCGTGCAGAGTGAGGCTGAGTCAGCGTTAGGTGTGGCTGGATGTGGTGGGGTGTGGTGTGTGCCGAGCCGTGCTGCGCCCCTTCCCCTGGGAGATAGCGGGTCTTGGCCTACCCTTCTGAAGTCACTGCGTTAATTCTGAATAGGTGTTGGACGGCAGGCACCGCAGAAGCCCCCGAGAGGCAGCACAAGGGGCCCGCCCCAGTTAGTGCCGCCCCCCCTCCCTCCTCCTGGCCCCGATGAGGTGGAGCCCCTCGGCCCTCCGGGGGAAGGTGCTGGTTCCGAGCCCTCCGAGCTGAGACCCGAACGTAGGTGCCTGTGTCCCCGTCCTGTTGTTGACTGTTGGCCTCTCTGTCCTGGCTGCCTCGGGGCTGGCTCTCCAGACTTCCTGTCGCTATCTGTGCCTCCCTCCTGCCCTTCCTTCTACGTGCTCTAAGCAGTGAGCCCGGGCTCCCAGGGCATGCGCTCGATGCCGGGCAGAGCCCCAGGGAGCGGCTCCGCCAGGACCGCAGCTATGGTGAGGCTTCAGCCTGCGCAGGGCCTGTTGGGTGGAGACAGTCACAGGCGCTGCCTGCTCAGGGGAGGCGCCCGCAGGACACCTGCCGAGTGTGGCGGTCACCCGGCTGAGCAGGCAGGCACTTGGGGAAACTGAGGAACCGGAAGGAGAAATGGTCTGGTGTGAGTGCGGCAGCAGGCAGAACTGCAGTGCTGTTGTCCTGCCAGTCCCTTGGGATTCTTTCCTTTGGACTTGAGTGGGGACTGCACAGGGCATTCCCAGCCCAGGTGGGGAGGCTGGCACACGCAGTCGTGCTCATCCAAGGGTCCACGTGGCCTCGGTGCTTCTCTGCTGAGGGCGTCTCACCTCTTTCTGTCCCTTGGAAGAGTCGGAGCAGCTGTCTCCCACTTCCGGGCAGAGAAGATAGTTGCTGGATTGCTGGTCCTCTTTCCCCAGGTGAAACAACCTGCCTTTGTTCAGCTTTGCCCACAAATGCTTCTCTTCACCCTTCAAGTGCGTCAGAGCGTCTTGGTGTTGCACTCATTTGAACAAGTACAGGTTAAGTAGACAGTTCTTAGGAAGATAAACCCGGCATGCCGTCACACCCTGTAATCCAGGCTCTCTGGGAGGCTGAGACAGGAGGATGGGAAGTTTGAGCCCAGCCTGGGCAACTTAGTGACTTAACATGACCCTGTCTCAAAATAAAAAATAAAAAAGGGGCTGAGGCTGTAGCTGGCCCTCCTTCTGCCCCCCACCCCTCTCCCACTACTGGTGCCCCCGAATTTCACGTTCAGGGTTGGAGCTCACCTGCGGCCTGGTCAGGACTGCTCACCCTGCACCCCACTTGCTGTATGGGGAGCCAGGCAGAATCCACCAGCCCCTTCCACGAGGGGCTTCAGAATAGCTCGGGGTGATGGATCCTGGCCCTGTCTCATGCTGTAACACAGTGCTTGAATCTGGGCCCCCTGTCAGCCTCAGGGTGAGTCTGAGCCCTGTCACACGCTTCCTCCTGCCCCACCCGCTGTCCCAGGCAGACCCGTGGCTGCATTTGGCTGTGTGGAAGCTCCTGGAGACTGCTGCGCAGCTTTAAGCTCTCTCATGTCTCCTCCTGGAGAAAGAGACGCTACTGCTCCCAGTGAGAACCCAGCCTGAGGACCCACGTGGGTGGGTGGTATCAGACAGCCCCTGCCACAGATGTGTCATCCTGAGGAAACTGAGGCAGGTGCCTCTCTGGCGTAATTGGCACCGTGGGACTGTTCTGAAGAAGGCCTCACTGCATCCATCCGTCCATCCGTCCGTCCCCTGCACTGTGTCCCCTTGTGCTCAAAGCTCCCCGGGTTCACCTTTGGTTTTCCGAATCCCCTGTGAGTCATCCATCAGATGCGTGCACCACACAGGCTATTAACATCAAAACGCACACTGTCTTCAAACAGTCAGCACAGACAACCTGCCTAAGATGAAAGGTCTAAGTGGCTGAAGGAGAAGAGATTCGTGTGCAGGCGCAGTTAAGAACACCAAAGCAGACTTCTGAGCGCCCTCTGGGTTCAGGCCGCTCTCCCTTGGGCCTCCCTGGCCCTGTGGCTCCTCCCCTATGGAACTTTGCCTGAGTCCTGAGACCTTTGCTGGGTCTCCCGGGCCAGCCTCCTGCGAACTCATCCCATTTTAATGCTTACTCTGTTACTGATGGGCCCGGGTCCAGGATGCTCAGGTGGTATCCAGGATCCAGGCATCTGCCTCAGTTTCCCCAGGATGACAGCAGTGGCAGCGGCTGTGTGATACTGGCCATGCACGTGGGGATCCTAGTGGGCCACCAACCCCTGCAGGCCCTCAGGGTGGGTTCACCGAACATAGGCTTTGTGGAGGGCAGAGGGAGAACATCACTTCTAACCACCTAGGAGGAGCACGTGACCCCACGCTGGCGCTCCTCCTGGGTCCCCTTGGCCTTGTCCCCAGAGGGAAGGGACCTTGTAGAGAAGCCAGGCCCAGCAGAGGGGGCCCTGCTCACCTGGGGACACCAAGTCGCTGTCCCCGAAGAGCCTTGCTAACTGGGGAGGGTAGGTGGTGTGCGCTTCGGATGGGTGGGGTGAACTCGTGTCATGGGCAGAGGGTCTGGGTGGTGTGAGAGGCCCTCGTGGTGCTCGGTCACGGCTCACCACGGCCCTGTGTGCAATGTGTGCGAGCAGAGACACTGGGTGAGTCTTTCGATTGAAAGGGGAAAATTCTCACTACAAAAATGCGAGGGTGCTGTGATCTGTGTGTAAGAATGCAAGCATGGGCGGGGATTTAGCTCAGTGGTTCTGCTACCTGCCCCCAAGCACAAGGACCCAAGTTTGATCCCCCGGTACCAAAAAAAAAAAAAAAGAATGCAAGCATGTTTGGGGAGTTTGCTGCCTATGGTTTCAGACATCCCTTAAGGTCTTGGACCATGTGCCTCATGGGTAAGAGAGAGCTACCCTGTGCCCATGCCAAACTCAGAGACAAAGGCCTGGGTTCTGGATTATCTTAGCAACAAGAGAGCAAAGTAAGGTTGGTGAAGCTGCTGCTCCCTTTATGAGACTTAAGAATACTGGATCTCATTAAAGCTACTTCAGGTGTAGAAGCCCTAACTCTGTGTCTTCCAAGCCGAGTCTACATAGACAAAATGCAGGCCTTCAAGGAGCTTGGGGCAAGCGGGAAGTGGTATGGCTGAGCACGAGCCCTGCTGTCTGCCCTCACCTTGTGTCCTGTCAGGGTGACCCACACTGCTGCTTCCTCGCCCTGAGGGCAGCTTGCAGATTCTGGTGGCTGGATACTCCCCAAGCATGTACAGGAAGGATGAGGAAGCCACGTCCCTCCTCAGGGCCATGGGACTAAGGTCGCCCTGCCCCGGGCTCTGGAGCTGAGGTCTCTTCCATAGCGAGAAGGGTCTCTGCTCTGCTCTTTGATCTTTTCGCTGCTTCTTATGACGAGGCTTCTGCACTAACCTCAGACACCTAACTGTGCGCGGCACTGTTTCACACGCATGGCAAACCCGGCAGAAGTGTGCACTTGGGCCTTGCCCCTGACTTTCCCACCCGCTTGCTTCCCTAATACGCGGTTGTAGTTGAAATTTCACCATGAACCACAGAAACAAAACCATCCCTTTAGTGGCATTGAATTGTCTGTTTACAAGATTTACAGGGTTTTATAATTAGGCTATTAAGTTATCAATTCCTTATTCCGGTTAGAAGGCCATAGGGATTCAAAGATCAATGCTCATGGAGCTCAAATTGCACATCTTCAATTGCTTTAATTTTTTAAAGCTGAACTGTCCAATGACCGGATGCACATTTTCTTACCCATTTTCCAATACCAAAGTGGGGCAAATAAATCCTCCCTTGGTTATGCACTTGTAGGGTAACTGGCAAAGGATTCTAAAGGCGCAGATGAAAGACATCATTTCTCCGGTCCTCAGCACTGGCAGTGACGTCATCATGTTGCTTCCAGCTGCAAGTTCCCAAATTTGCGATCAGGTGGCCCTTTCTAAAATCTTTAAGGAAATTCTAAAATAGAGAAATAAGATTGGAAAACAGAACCTCCATCTTGAATTAGAAAATGATAATTTGGGCTTGATTGATGCAAAACTAATAACGGTAACGATGGCTCACACTTCAGGCAAGGGGCCCAGCAGAGGCGCTGAGGCCGGAGCTTTCCTGGCAGGGTCTGTAACCCAGTCTGCACCCCAGCACCAGATCCCTGCTGGGGGCTTCTGGCTCAGGAGCAGCCAGGGCTGTCTGGACAGAGACAGGCTGGAGAAGACGGGAGAAGACCAGTGGGGCTTGCACAGTCGCCTAACGCGGACCTCACTCTGCAACTTGAGCCCAAAGTCAACACGTTTCCAGCTTCCAAACAGAGCTGTCAGTGTGAAGCCTTGACAGGCACAATTCTGTGTGTCCTGGGAAACATCCTAGAAGCCCCGCCCATGCGTGGAGATCAGAGCCAGCCAGGGTGGGGCCCAGCTCCTGGGGTGTTTATTTCCCCTTTCCTCCCCATGGCTGGAGAACCACTAGCAGCTGCTCCTGCTCGCCTGAGAAAGGCCACACATCCGGGAAAACAGGAAGTGGCTGCAAGGGACTGACCCTTTCCGTAGAACGGCAGGAAACTGTTGACTATGGGAGCAGAGTCTGTCCCCACTAAGAAGGACATTAGAAAAAGTGGAGCTGAGTTTATAGCCTGCTATTTTTATACCTTGAAAACCATCACCTCCACCTAGCATAGACTAAGAATTGGCTGCTTGGAAGAGAAGCCGTGAGACTCACAATGAACCAATGTATAGCAGTAGAGGAAAAAGGAGACTTCAGCACTTGTGTCTTTTTGCTAATTACTTCTCAGCCCTTTATTGACAGGATGCTGTGACTCGAAAGAGAACTAAAGAACTCAGTGACAACTCACTGGGACAGACTAGAGCTATGCCAGCCTGTGAGAGCGGGTTGTTAAAATTTCAGGCGTTCTGCAAGCCAATTGTTAAACAGAACCATTATGGAAGACAAAATCATATAAACTTACAATTAAACAAATAATATTAAAGACAAAGGCAGCAGCTACTAAAAATTCATAATTTCCTAATTATTTTACATTTTATTGTCTCTCTGTTGTTGACATTATGCATATACATTGGATCTGTATAATTCCATGCTCTGTATAAGTGAAATATTTTGTAACAGTGTACTGCTGTTACATAGTAACTGACAGCCATGGCTAGAAATCACCCATGAAGTATTTATAGCATGGAAATTGGCAAAGTTTACAAAGCCAAGCTAAATGTATTGTTTTTTTAATTGTTTATATATAAAGGTGTTTGGGAAATGTTAATGATGCAAATTAACTACATTTGAAACATGTCATATTTCTAGCAGTATGCAGTATGATAGCCCCCAAATTGAAGAATTCTTCTTCCATTTTTCAGAATCCAATTATCAATTCCCCAAAGTCTTCACACGATTGACAAATGAATGAGATACTGACATACATCCTTCCTGGCTTGGTTTTCATCTTCCTCATTATCATAAACAAAATTGTCAATCTGCATTCAAGTCAAAACTACACTTGTTTGCCAATAGCAATAACAGGCTGGTTACAGATTAAAGAATTTGGCAAAACTTAATGAAAGCATTCTGGTGATTTTACAGTATATAATTTATAAAAACAGGATTGTATATTTTCTTATTACTTGTAATTTTGTGCTTCCTGTCTTTCATATCAGTAAAACTTACACCTTCTATTTATACCTTTTGTTTCCAGAGAGCTGGGTCCTACTTACCAGAATATCATTGCAAAGGAGTATAAATATAAATAGAAACGCTGGAAAGCAGAGTTGTTTAGTTAAACTGAGGACAAATGTGTCTTTGATTTCTTAAACCAATCAAGAATTAAGATGACACAAACACTTACACCTGCTGTCTGTGTCTCGAAGTTTTCATTGGCAATGTAAAGTCGTTAGGCATAAAAATATTTTATTTGTTTATTCATTTATTTATTCCAGCATCAAGAGTTATGAGAAAATTTTTCTGGGTTCATGCAAATTTAAGTCCTGCCCAGAAATAAGTCGTGGGCATCTTTATTATTATTTTTGAGTACCAGCCCTTCTTTCACCAGTTGAAGGTAAATAGGGCTGTGTACCATGCCTGCCTTACTGACAACACCCTGTGTCCCGGGCCTGGAAGGGTTGGTCAGACTCAGCCAAGCCCCTTCCCGTTTCAGCCCTTCTCACCAGGGGATTCAGGGATGGAGGGCTGCTTCCGGGTGGCAGCCTGTATTTCGGGAGCCCAGCCATACTGCAGAAAGCAGCAGAACGTGCCAGGCTGTGCTCCTGGAACCTGGGTACCCCGTCCTCACGTCTGAGTACATGCTCCAACTCAGTGACCCGATGAGCACCCGAGTGTGCACGAAGGCCCTCCTGTAGGAGGAGGAAGTTGAGGGCCCTCGAAAAACTGTTTCCTGCTTTTCCTTGCCGTTCTGCTGGTAACCCAGGCTTCATCTCCAGAGGGAAGCAGGGATTTTTACCCACCAGCCCATGGGCATCTCTGCTTTTCAGAACTTTAAGGTTTCCTGGTGAACCCAGAGAGCTTGGCCCGAAAGGCGAGGGGGGCCCAGTGACAAGTATGATGCAGCTCTCTGGGGGTAGGGGCCTGCAGTGGCCCAGAGACCCTCTCAACAGCAGGCCTAGACAAGGCCAAAAGCAGATGAGGGTTGACGGCCACACCGACCTCTGCAGCAGGGACAGCCTCTCTCCATGCTCACATTCTGCGTCTTCTCCGCAGTGTACTGCTGCGCCTCTTTCCCCACCCACGCCAAGCGCCTCTGACGGCTCCTCCTGACCTGACCCACGCCTGCCTGCGGGCTCTGCTGTCCTGCCGCTGCCTCCTTCTTCGCCTTTCTGGGTAAAAAGGCTCATTGCTATCCACAATTCGTGTTCCTTGGAATTTACATATAAATGCACACTTTGCAGAGATCTGTTTGAGGTGCGTTTTTCTTTGTAGGTGGCAGAGACAGGTTTATGTAAGTTCTGGGTAGAGAATATTGACCTGCAGACCTTTGCTGACCCGTGGGTGGTCTGTTTATAAATTATAAATTTATATTATATTATATATATCATTATAAATCATGGTGAATTCACATTTTTCTTACTGTTTGTTCTGTTCAAGAGTCCAGTCTCCTTTTGCCCAGCGTGTGCCCTATTGTCACTGTGGCGGAACCGGAATACCCTGTCCACCTGATAAAACCAAGTGTGAAATACATGAGACCTGCACACACCTGCAGGGCCTCAGTCCCCTGACAGCCACCCACTGAGAGAGGCACGGTGCCCAAGTCCATGTCTTCACTTGCACTCCGCCTCTGGGCAGTTTGAAAAAAGAAAGCCGCCTCCCCCCTTACCTGCTCATTCCCCCTTCATTTATTCCCCTGTTCGTCCACTGAGTCTTTTAGTACTTACTGTGTGCTGGGGGCGATGGGAACAAACTACACCCGTGGAAAGTTTGCTTTTCTGCACCTCTTTGTCCACGTGCAAAGAAATAGCGGTGGTTCCACTCGATAAGCCCTGGTCCAGAGGTTTGCATGAGCATTACATGTGGCCGCAGTGTGACCCCCATGCCTGTGCAGGGGCTGCCCACTGTCCTCAGTCCACGTCCCTCACAGTTGTGGAAATGCAGCCCTGGTACTGAGAACCACTCACCCCAGTGCCCTGAGCCCTACAGAGGAGATAAAACAGTCCTGGGTGAAGATCCAGGGCTGAGCAGATGAGGCAAACCGCTCTCGCTTGCTGTGATTAACTTCCCCTGTGACTCAGAGACACTTAAACTGGAGCAGCTTCTCATTTCTCTCCAAAAGAGTTTTTAAATTTTACTGCTCAAAGTAACAAAAAAATATCTGGGTTGGGGGGCTGTTGTTGTCTGGGTGTTCAGAGTGGAAACATTAGTCGACTTATGCAGGAATGACCCCAGCTGACACTGGTATGGAGAATAAATCAGAGCCGTTGCATGCAGCCAATTCAGTGCCATGTGTAGGTGAGAACCCAGAAAGTCACAGAAGTGACTCACAAGGAGCAAGTTAGAAAGAGCCCCCTCCTGTCACTGAAATAAAAGACTTTGTTTGAGAAGTAGCAGTCATTTAACCTCAGATCATGAAGAGGTGAAAGCCTAAATAAGAAAAGGTAATGTTTCCCTAAATGTAGAGGAAAGCACCAGGATTTATGACCCAGACACAAAAGATTGTAGTAGATTGTAGATAATTACAGCAATGAGCATTTGTGCAAGAAGTAGCTATTATGCTGAAGGAAGATGGCAGCACAAAATCTCAAGAGAAGGACACAGGGAAGGGGATTCTACTCACAGGATTATTGGTTAGAGAAGCAGAAAGCATGATGCCAAAAATGCATCAAATTCTATCAGAAACAGAGGCCACAGATATGTCAGGGGAAGACCAAATTCGACAGAGGTCGGTCATTTTACCTCACAGGTGGGATCTGACTGTGGCCTCGCTTACTGGACGTGATAGTCACCAAGACGGGGCCAGCTGGCCTTTGACAGCACCTGGCTTGTCTCTGGCACCGGCCACCAAGCAGATTTAGTGTACACCGTCACTAACCTGTTAAGTTAACCTGTTAGGCTCCTGTAGGAAGCAGACAAATTATTTTTTTCTTTTGCAAAAAAACAGCATTTCCCGAAGTTCCCTGTTTCTGACTCAGTCTAGAATCCGACCCTTGCCTAAGGCCCTTCTTCTCCCGGAAGCCCACAGGAGAGTGGCTTTGTTTTCTCTGTGAGGTTGCACATTATATCCAGAAAAGATGGTACAGCTCCTGGTTCCCACCTAGACACACAAGCCCTCCTCGGGGCTGGCCAGCACGTGTGCAAGTTCATGGCATGAAAAGTGCCCCGGGTAAGACCAGTTCTGTACCATATGCAGGGTAAAAGACAAGTTAGCTGTATATCATTTTCCAGCAAGAGTTGTCTTCAGTTCTTACATTTTCTCCCTTAAAACCACGTTGGCAGCGGACAGTGGGGCACACTGTAATTCCTAAGCTTCAGTCTACTTTATAATGATATTCGCCCTCTTACTTCACCAGTACTTTGGACTTTTGTATATGAAGAGTCTACATTTTTTTTCATTTTCAATAAATGCTCTCAATTCTATTGATGAAACAACTTGGGTAAGTCTTGTGTGTTTTCTCCCTGGTATTTCATTGCAGCACCCATTATAATCAGTCACACATCGCATCTGTGTTTGGGATGCTTATCAGCTGCTAATTTTCACAGTTTTCACGTTAATTTGGATCCATGGTATGATACAGTTTGTTCACAACTTTCATAGCTTATGTAACTGGATTCAAAACATTTCTGCAGACAGATTCATCTCTCATAACAAAACAAGGCTTTTGCGTGGGGATGGGATTATGTCTTCCGCAGAGCAAGAGGAGGTGAAGGCTTCCAAAGGCTCGTGGTGCCTCCACCAAAAATCACCGCAGCCCGGGAGATGAGCCATTGCACAGCTTCCTCTCCCTCCCAGGTGTGCGTGCACATGTGTGTGTTTCACTGCTTGTCACTTATCCCAAGGCACAGTGTGGAACAGGGTGAAGAATAGCTTTCCCCGTACTAGTCACTGCTGTAAAACAAGAACACACTTCCAAATGCATCCATGAAGACAGAGGCTGAAATACTATATATAGAGGCACAGGAATTACCTGTGTAGTTTTGGGTTTTATACTTTGTTTCTCACCAATACCAACACGTAATTGGTAACCCGTGTACTGAATAACCTTCACTGGAAGTTGGCTGATGCAAATTCATCATTACTTTTCTGTTTATCCCGTCCTTCCCCCCCGCTGCCCCTCGTCACCCTCTCTGCCACTCAGGCTTCTCTTAAACACGCTGCCGCCGCTATGTACTCAGTGGTCTTCGTGCAATGCCAGGAGGGCCGTCCCTTTGTGGATGCCAGTCTCTCTCTACCCTTTCTGCCACAGTTCACTTGCGTAAGGACAGAGGGAGCCCACCTGGCAGTCCTTGGACACCTGGCCCTCTGTAGCAGTCCTCGGTCTCAATGACAGCTCTATCTGTGGGAAGACTGATTAGTTAGGTTAATGAATATGAAATAATAGTAGACGGTAGATTCTTTTTTCTTGTGTGGTACTGGGGATTGAACCCAGGACCTCCGCAGTGACCTGCATCCCCAGCCCTTTTTTACATTTTGTTTTGAGACAGCGTCTTGCTAAATTGCTCAAGCTGGACTCAAACCTGCAATCCTCCTGCCTCAGCCTCCAAATGTATTGGGACTACAGATCTGTCCCACCACACCTGGCTAATAGATGGTTTTAAAAAGAGATTTTTTTTTTAGTCTTTAATAGTGGAATTATACCTCTTTATTTCATACTGCAAGTTGAAGTGTGGGAAGAAGATTGATGGGAATAAGCAGGATTTGTATTGTGTGTCCTCTAACAGCGGTAGACACCACAGAGCAGCCTGTGCACCAGGAAAGCGTGTAGTTTAGCAAGGTCTCCTACTTAGGTCACCCACAGTTGACGTAATGCTCAGCACCCTCTGGTTTCCATTTGTCACTTGTAACGGTTTCCAATCTGTGTATATGTGTTTATGCAAACAATTATGCATATGTATGCACTAGTACATAACACATATTATGCACTATATATAAAACATATAAATAAACCTTGTGACACTACTGTAAATCTGATGGGAAGAGTAGTTAGCAAAATGTGGTTTACAGTGACAAATTCTAACTAACTGAGACCTAAAGCTCCATTATAACTCGAATGTAGACTAGTCCGTGTTAACGCTGACGACGCCGCGGTGCTGAGGGAGGCAGACGCCGCAACAGGGTCCTCAGGCGGCAGCGTGAGGCGGCACGCGTGACAGGAACGTGCCCTGGACCACCGGTCCTCTGCTGAGGGGGCCCAGGTCCGGTCCCCGTGGTCAGCCACCTGCTCACTGGGGCCTGGACCTCGCCAGCAGCCTGCTCCCACCCGCGCGTGGCAGACGGCGTCCCCACCCGGCTACAAGGCCTGGCCGGGCCCTGCGCCTCCTCCCTGTGTCTCCGGAGCTCAGCTGCAAGGGCGGGCGACCTGGGTCCAGGAGGGGCCCTGGGTACCAAGGGGCGCTGCCTGCGCATTTCCACCACCAGGGGGAGCCCTGGGAATCCCATTGATGGAGAGTTTGGCCGGAAAGAAAACAAAGATTAAAAAATAAACATGGGGGAGCTGCTTTTATGCCAGCGTTGTGCTGCAGCCAGTCACATAAAGAGCGGGCTGGGTGACGGCAGTCACAGGGTTGAACCGGCTCCATGCACACATAGAGGAACGCAAGGCCAGCAGAGTCCAGACTCAGCCCGAACCATGCAGCTGAGTAGGGTGTGGGCTCAGACTGGCTGCCGCTCCACCCCTGACGGCTGGGTGACCAGAGGACCCGTGGATCCATACACACACACGTCTACAGGCTTGTACACATGGAACACACAGTGCACACACATATACACACGCACATAACACATATGTGTGTAGCATAGTATCCCTATGCACATAAATATACACAATGCACGATGCATATGCAGACAAAAGGTGCACACATGTGCGTGTGTACATGCCTGTGCATATATGTGGCATGTGATAGAGGCTCCTCTATGCGCTGTTACAGTTTCAATTTCAAAGGTTCCCCAAGTCTCATGTGAGGAAGGAGGTTGCTCCAGGGGATGCTGGACTGTGTGCTGTAGGAGGTGGGGCCTGGCTGGAGGACGTCACTGGGGTGTGACCTGGAAGGACCCCGGCCTTCTCTCTACTTTCTGGCTGCTGTGGGATGAGCAGCTTTCCCCACCAGGCCCTTCCACCATGCTGTTTATGCCTTGGAGCCAGCTGACCATGGACCGAACCCACTGGAAACCATGAGTCATAGAAAGCTCTTCTACTTTAAATTGCAGGTGCCGAGTATTTTGTCCCAGCCGCAGGAAAGTG